AGGGGCTGAGAGTGGGAGGAGGCATTGGACAGGGCGAGGTCCCTACCTTGGTAACTGTTTGGCCTTTGCACTGCAGCCCCCTGACGAAGGTGAAACTGATCAATGAGCTGAATGAGCGGGAGGCAGAGCTGGGCGTACAGGAGAAGGTGTCCTGGCATGCAGAGTACAGTGATAGCGCCTGGATCTTTGTGGGTATGTGATTTGTGTGAGAGTGGGAGGAGGCATTGGACAGGGCGAGGTCCCTACCTTGGTAACTGTTTGGCCTTTGCACTGCAGCCCCCTGACGAAGGTGAAACTGATCAATGAGCTGAATGAGCGGGAGGCAGAGCTGGGCGTACAGGAGAAGGTGTCCTGGCATGCAGAGTACAGTGATAGCGCCTGGATCTTTGTGGGTATGTGATTTGTGCAGCAGTCTTGGTGCTGGTTCCCCCAGGTTCTGTATCATGAGCCCTGTGTGTCAGTCTATTTCCCTGTTGCTGCGTGCTGTAACAATATTAGCCCTCCCAGGTTCATATTTTGGTCTAGGGATGTAAAATCCTGTTTAAAAAGGTAACCAGTTAGCTTTTGATGTGAAAATGCGAATGTTTAAGGCAGCTATGAATGGGACACATACAGTCCACTTAATTAGCTTCATTAACATGGGTCCTGCAATTGATAAGTGGTATTTCTGCTGTTTATATATATCTTGGATTCTATTATTTCCACTCCAACTCATCTGATAAAGTGGGTCTTGCCCACAAAAGCTCATGATACTATATATTTTTGTTAGTCTCTAAAGTGACACAGGACTACTGGTCATTTTTAAGTTAAAATAGAAGTTCTGTAGAACTTCATCAGTATTATGAAATGGTTTTGATTAAATCAAGTGACTTAAAACTTTGAAGAATTGTCGCTTAGGCTATGTCTACACTGCAGGGTTTTTGTGCAAGAAGTCTTTTGCAGAAGAATCCTTGCACAAAAACTTCTTGAGCAAAAGCGCGTCCACACCTCAAAGCACATCCACACTGCATGGATGCTCTTGCACAAGAAAGCTCTGATTGTCATTCACAGAATGGCCATCAGAGCACCTGTGCTTTTTTGGATAGGCTCTTTTTGCACAAGAAACTCCGATGGAGCGTCCACAGATGCCTTTTTGCGAAACAGCTGTAGTGCAAAAAGGAGCTATGCCTTGTAGAAGGAGGTTTACCTACACCACAAAAAACCCTCTGTTCTGTCGATTGACTGTAGATTTTCTTGCGCAAAAATGCGCTTGAGATGTGGCCACTCTGCGGGTTTTTACGCAAAAACCTTGTAGTGTAGACGTACCTTAGAGTGTGGGAGTCAAGAGAGGCATATTGGGTTGAGGGGGACAGGCATGATAATCTGCAAGGCCAAGGATAAGAGCTGTACTGCAGTCCTGTTGAGCCTGAGCAGCATTAACATTTGTGTCTTCTTCCCAGGAGGTCTCCCCTATGAGTTGACAGAAGGTGATATCATTTGCGTGTTTTCACAGTAAGTCGAATTTCATTCTTCATTCTCAGTAGTTTAGTAAGGTCGTAGCATGAGGCCAAACAGTTGGTGTTTAAGCCTTGATATTGGATGACACGTGGCCTCTTGTGACATCCCCCCACCTCAGTCACTGCAGGAGTAATCTCGAGGGCTGGTGGCTTTTCCTTCTCTATTACACTTTTCTTAGTAGTTTTTCATGGAATTGTCATTTCCCTGGCCTTTGGTGTCTTGTGACTTCACTTTTTTCTTTCTAGATATGGAGAAATTGTGAACATTAATCTGGTGCGAGATAAAAAGACTGGAAAATCGAAAGGTTTCTGCTTTATCTGCTATGAAGATCAGAGAAGCACCGTACTTGCTGTTGACAACTTTAATGGGATCAAGGTTGGTATGTGAAAGAAAAGAGACCAGCCTTTAAGTGAAGTCCTGTTTGTGCCCAGGTTGGCTGCTAGTGTGTGGCTATTATTTGCTATGACCTTAGGGCTCCCAAAGCTTCAGTTCACCATTCTTTCCACATCCAAGGGTGCGCAGTTAAAAGCATTTGTGTCCGCAGAGGGAATTACAGCAGTATATTAGTGCCACAAGAGAAGTGATGTAGATATGACTCATGGGATGGATCCAACCTTCAGAGATGTTCTGGTACCATTTGATTTCAGGATGTGTTCATGTGAATGCTCTGTGACTAGCACTTCTGTGGCCGCCTTTTTCATGGAGATAGTTATGCCCTGTTTGTTTTTTAGTTTGCACATTTTTTGTACGACTGATGAGATAGATTTTATTTTTTAAGAATGGATTTGGGGATATTAGACCCATGACAGAGGCGTGGGGTGTAGAGTTATCCTTTGGTAATCTGTGGGTGATATTAGTTAGTGGTTGATGATTTGCGCTTTGGTTAGGATTATAATACGCAGGGCTCGACAAATAATGCAATTGACTCGCCCGAGGCGAATAGATTACAACCCGGAAGAGCCGGGTGCGGGCGATCTGTGCATGCGCAGATTGCCAGACAGTGCAGCTGGCGAGCAGGGCGAGCGGTTTGGCGAGCCCTGATAATACGTATGTTTGTATTTTAACCATTTTTATACGACATATTTACCTTAGAATAGTTAAATATACAGTTGTTTAACAGCCCTTACAGACTGTGTAAGTACAAACATTTGCTTTTGAAACATTAATAAGCATTTGATTTTTTTAATGATTATTTATTATTATGACAATATTGGAGTAGGGATGTGAAGTTAACCGGTTAACTGGTAAGCCTCCCCCTTAATGGCAGCCCCCCGTGGAGGTTTTACTGTGGTCTGCACAGTATAAAGCCTGTCTAAACGTTACACTGCAGAGTGCGCAGCATGTGCAACTGTAACTAAGATTTTTAGCGGTTACATTTTTAACTGCATTTTTACAACCCTAGCGTGGAGCTCAAGTCCTATGGCTTTTGCCTGTGTGGCGGCAACTTTCTGTAGCCTTGTGGGTTTGTTGGCAGTTTTACTAATATCCTGCTTTTCTTTTGTACAGATAAAAGGAAGGACAATTCGGGTGGACCATGTCGCTAATTATCGCCCTCCAAAGGACTCTGAGGATATCGATGATGTAACAAAAGTCCTACGTGAGAGAGGCTGTGGAGCTAAAACTCCGCCACCTGTTTCATCGGACTCTTCCTCAGAAGACAGTGAGGTACCAGTGAAAAAGCGTAAAGGTGAAGTATGTTCCTACCTGCATCCTGGGAACACGGCATGTGAGAACTCCTCCATCCCACAAGGCATTGAGCAGAACAAACAGACAGTTGCCAATGGGTGTGCTATGGGTGGAGACAGTCAAGTTATGGGATTGAAACAGTTTACTGGGTGAGACTGTGTCATACAGCAGGTCAGACTAGATAATCATAGTAGTCCCTTCTAGCCTTAAGTTTACAGTATTGAAAAATTCAGGTAAAGTTTGGGTTTTCTTTAAGCCCTCATGGCTACAGGGAACTTTCAAAATGTTTACTGAGTGTAGCTGATGTGCCTGCCTGAGTGTGCAGAGAGCCTGAAACACTGGCTTAGATGTGAGCTCTTCAGCTCTTTTGGAGTCTTAATGCTTCAGTGTGAACACTCGCTATTTCACTGCTAGTAATTGTGGAGAATGGCAGAGCGGCTTGTGGGAAGTGGAAGTTGCTGCATGGGAGGAAATGCAGAGGGAAGAACATGGAGGAGAATCAGAGACAGGATGGTGGAGGAGATGCACAGGGCAGGCACAGCATTGGGTATATTGGAGAGCAGATTTTACACTGGGCAGTGCTGAATGTGGCTGGAAGACTGAATACATGAAGTGTAGTTACTACCTCATGGATTTATCCTCTATGCCAATCTCCCACTGACACAAGGGAGACTGGCTATGGGTGCACAGAGGGAGGCTGTATAGTACACTGTCCTGTGTCCAATAGTTAGACATGGACTCTGGCCCGCTCCTTGGAGTCAAGCAGCCTTGTCTTAAACACACCCACTGTGGGAGTATCTGAATTTTTATTAAAGAAAACCAGCACAAATGTGTTATGGGTGGGCTGCGCTGATCCCTGAACTCGGGTGCTTGGTACAGCAGATGGTATCAACTGAAATCCTCTGGGAAGCGGGCTTTCTCCTGGGGTGGGAAGAGTGGGTGAGGCCAGGAGCCTTCTGTGGCTAGGAGCTGGAGAAGTTAGAAGGAAAACATTCTAGGATGAATGGCACGTGTGAAGCTGCGGTAGCAGGTGAGGTTGGCGCTGCCGCAGTCTTGCAGGGGTCGCTCTCACAGGGATCAATCTGTATTTCAGATCAAGAGAAGAAGAAAAGAGAGCAGACGGAGAAGAGGAGAGACCTGAAAGGTGTGAAGAGGTCACTTCCTGCAGGAGAGCCCCCTCCCACAGCCTGGATTAAAAAGGAAAAGGAAGACTCTGGCTATGACCAATATGCTAACCCACGGCAGCAGTCCCGGAATGGGCCTGGGCAAAAGCATGCAAGCAGGACTCATCTGGAGGAGGAATATGAGCAAAGGCAGAGTTCCAAGAGAGCTGTGGAGAGACGAGGGGACAAAGGGCACCAAGAACAGAAGGGTCCGAGCAGATCCAGGAAGGAGGACAAGGCTGAAGAGAAGAACAGGAGGGGAGAAGGCCACTGCAGCAGACAAGAGGAATATCTAGGGGGCACGAGATCAAGCGAGCGATGGGAGAGGAGCACCAGGGACCAGCATGTCAAGGGAACAGAACGGTCTAGCTCTAGGGACTCCAGCCGCTATTGAATTGCTTGTCCTGTGGCTGCAGGCAGGGCAAAACTACAGGCCTGGTGCTACTTGCAGAGAAATACTGTGGGTAGCTAATAATTGGAAGGGGGAGGGAACCCCCACATGTTGAATCCATTTTTAAGCTTGCCACAAATCCTCTCTCCTAATAATCTCCAAGCATTTATGCCTCTGCGAGTGCAGTGAAATAGCACCCCATTTTCTTCCGTCAGCTTTATATCTCTGCTCCTTGTTAATGCAGTCCTTCCCTAGGGACTGGAGAGCCAGGGACCCTCCTGCTCTTGCCTTAGCTGGTAGAAGTGGCTGGGGCCTGGGGCGGTCGCTCAAATTGCAATCTACAGTAAATGCCCTGTGTTAATAACAGTGAGATGCCTCCCAGGTGATGAGTTCTGTCTGGCACTTCATTGTTGTCAAGCAGAGCAGGCAGCTCCTGTAGTTCTTGGAAATAACCTCTGTCATCTGTTCTGTTGGTGCGGGTTCCCAGTCTAGACTGACCCCAGCAATGAATGTCTTAAATCCAAGTTATATGGGCTAGTATGTCAGCTGAGGAATTCTAACGTGGCCGTTAGCTCCTGCCAGGAATTCCCAAGCATTGGATTGTGCAGTTGGGATAGTTTATTGTTTTAAATGTCATTCAGTGCTTACCGCCTCCCTCCAGATCCATGGCAGCATCAGCAGGCCCAAGACACCGTACGCAGAGGTTGACACAGAGACTTGCTGTTTAACTATTCTAGGGATAATAAAAAACCACTCTGTGCAAAAAGCCTGCTTCAGGTGATCCCTGAGAGACAATGTGTGACCATTTTGGGACTGCTTATCAATACAATATGTGCGCCTGATGGCTGTAAGGGGATTTGCTGTGTGAATACGTTTTGGGACTGCTTATCAATACATTGTTCTATATGTGCGCCTGATTGCTGTAAGGGGATTTGCTGTGTGAATACAAGGGGTTAATTTGAGAGAGAGTGGATTACCTCCAATCCCCTGCTGAGTTTGTGGGAGGCAGGGCTGCTCATGTCTAGGGAACTGATTAGAAAGAACTCTGCCTCTGGGGCGGAGGAACAGACAGTAGGCAGGCCTCTGAAGTAAGTCTGCCCAGGACTCGAGACATGCATGTAGACTTCAGTTTTTTAAAATATGCAATGCTTTGTTCCTACGGTTAAGATTGAGCCATGCTTTTCGGTTTAAAAGAATGTTTTGGGTCACTGTGTTCCGTGCTGGTTACAAGTGCACAAAGGGAGCAACTGCAGGTGCCTAGTAGACCTGCTGGGTCTACCCTATGGGTGCAGAGAGTGGTGTGCCACACGGCATGGCCTACAACTGGAAGAGCCATCAGAGACCACCTCAAGAAGATAAAAGCCTATGACTTCAGGCATGTGCTGTCAGAGACCATAGGGTGTAGAAGTGCAGCTCTCCCTGGAACCAGGACAGTTTGTCTGTACAAAGTGCTGATTGCAAGATACTGTTCTTACTTTGTATGTTTTTCTTTTAAGGGTCTGAAAGCAGTTATTCGACAGGGCAATCCTTGAGGGAAGAGGCCCCGTACAGTCTGCTTGTAGTCCTTGGAGAGCAGGGAGAGAAATAGTCTGCTCATGCTGAATCATGCCATGGTCCCCGTACTATGTTGCTGAAGTGTGCTAATGTCTAGATGTCAGAAGGGACCATTATGGCCATCCAGCCAGGCTGCAGATTAGAAAATATCACCCTGCAGTTCCTGTGTACTAGGGTCCAAGTGAGTGAGTAAATCCACTTTATTTTTCCAAGCTGGGCTAGCGCAGTGTTATTTGTAGGGCATTGTGCATTCCCTGAGCTCTACTCAGCTTCTGCTCATTGGGGTCCAAATATACTCCTGGTCTCTCTGGCCTTCTGCGGGTTTGGTTTCCCCTTGCGCTTGTAGCCTGTGGAACCCCTTAATCTTCACTCCAGCTGGAAGCATAGATAGCCCACGGGGCTCTGCTAAGTTCCTGGAATATGGCTTCTACGAGGGAGGAGGGGATGTCACGCAAGCTCAGCATCTGTGGTATTGAAAGAAGCTGTCTGTCAGAAGATTGTGCAGCACTGCACAGTGTGACCAACCCTCTCCTTATGTGCTTTAAGCAGTGAGAGTTTATATTCAAATAGCAACATTTATTATCAAAGAGCATCTAAGATCATTTCCGTTAGTGTGACTAAGGTGCTGTTCTGGCTCATGTAGCCAGGGCTTAGGCAGTGCATTGTCCCCTGCTGGCCAGGTTCTCCTGTCACCCTAGACCACATCAGTTTTCATTCTGAACAGTTCCTCTGCATAGCTGTCCTGTTTCCAGCACAATAGGACCCTACAGGCTTCTGTGAGTTAATGTCAGGGTGGGCAATGCTCACTGGAGCTAGCAGCACTGCAGCAGCAGCACAGTAAGGAAAGAGATCAAGGGATCCTTCATCGCTCCTAAGTTGTCATGGGATAAGAGGGAACGTCCTTTCATGGATTTGATAACTGGTTAAAAGACAGGAAACAAAGGGTAGGAATAAATGGCAAGTTTTCAGAGTGGAGAGAGGTAACTAGTGGTGTTCCCCAAGGGTCCCTACTGGGACCAGTCCTATTCAACTTATTTATACATGATCTGGAGAAAGGGGTAAACAGTGAGGTAGCAAAATTTGCAGATGATGCCAAACTGCTCAAGATAGTTAAGACCAAAGCAGACTGAAGAGCTTCAAAACAAGCTCACCAGACTAAGTGATTTGGCAACAAAATGGCAAATAAAATTGAATGCTGGTAAATGTAAAGTAATGTGCATTGGAAAAAATAATCCCAACTATATGTACAATATGATGGGGGCTAATTTAACTACAACTACTGAAGAGCGAGATCTTGGAAGTCATTGTGGATAGTTCTCTGAAAACATCCACTCAGTGTGCAGTGGCAGGCAAAACAGAGTGTTAGCAATCATTTAAAAAGGGATCGAGAATAAGACAGAGAACATCTTATTCCTTCTGTGTAGACCCTCTGTGTAGACCCACATCTTAAATTCTGTGTATAGATGTGGTTGTCTCATTGGAAAAGGTTCTGAAAATGATTAGGGGTATGGAACAGGTCTCCTATGAAGAGAGATTAAAAAGAGTGGGACTTTTCACCTTAGAAAAGAGGAGACTAAGGGGGATATGATAGAGGTCTGTAAAATCATGAGTGGTGTGGAGAAATGACTAAGGAAAAGTTATTTACTTATTCTCACTGTATAAGAACTAGGGCTCCCTAAATGAAATAAATAGGTAGCAGGTTTAAAACAACCCAAAGGAAGTTTTTCTTCACTCAGCACACAGTCAACCTGTGGAACTCCTCGCCAGAGGATGGGGTGAGGACTAAGGCTTGACTGGGTTCAACAAAGAACTAAAATGCATGGAGCTCAGGTCTGTCAAGGGCTAGTAGCCAGGATGGGTAGGGATGGTGTCCGGAAAAGGGTGAGGGGAGGGATGCGGTGACACCCTGCCCCTCCCACAGGCACTGCTCCTATAGTCATGGGGCCACCTCCTGCCCAGTGGGTTGCCAGGACAACCGCAGGGTACCAGCCCAATTGGTCCAAACCAGTAAGCTCCGCCCCCAACACGTGAGATTGGCGCCTCTACGTCACGACGCTGGGCGGAAGTGGGGGGGGTGAAGGCGCGTGCC